GAAATTTTGAATGGAATGAAGAAAAGGGCAGACTCAAGAAGGTAGAAAATGTTTAGTAAAGAGCCTAAAGAAAAGGAAGAAAAGGAGGAAAAATGGAAGGAAACAAGGCAAAGGAATAAAGGATGCAGATAAGGAAATCGGAAAAGGGGAAACTGGTACAAAATTAGGAGAAAAAGGGGTGAAGGTATTGCTTTGGAATGTCCAAGGGCTGCGAAAAAAGGAAAGGGAGGAAATGCAAATTGCCAGAATCTGGAATCAAAGTAACGTTTCATTGGTAATGAACATCGAACAGATCATTCCACTACGGTTACGTGACAAGTTAAACACGAACTGTGTCTATCATAACAAGTTTTAATAGGGAAAATGTAAAAGTTTACTAGCCCCGCCCACCCAGCCTCACGTTTCTTAAAGGAAATGTGATTTTCAAAAATCGATCGTATTTTAGAAGATACTAAACCCGCCCACCCACCCTCTGTTTTCTTAGAGGATATGTCATCTGCCAAATCAGGCTTATCTTAGCCCTGTAAGAAAATAAAGGGGGGTGGGCGGGGCCTCAACTTGCCAAGATAAGACCGATTTTGCCAAATGATATAAATTTTTGGTTTTTAAGTTTACGATTTTTAATTTTATTATTGAAATCAAATCGTACAAACGCTGCTTATAAATTATCATCACATAATTAAACAGTATTTAAACATAGCTAATATTATTTATAATGTTTAAATATGATTAACATTAATATATCATAATTAAACCGAAACGCGTTTTCCAACAAGCCCGAAATTTTTTAAAAACAAATCAATTTGTTTAAACATTATAATGAAAAACAAAATGGTTAGAATGGGATATAAAAAGTTAACTGTAGACGGCAGAAATTTTGAATGGAATGAAGAAGAGGGCAGACTCAAGAAGGTAGAAAATTTTTAGTAAAGAGCCAAAAGAAAAGGAAGAAAAGGAGGAAAAATGGAAGGACACAAGGAAAAGGAATAAAGGATGCAGATAAGGAAATCGGAAAAAGGGGAACTGGTACAAAATTAGGAGAAAAAGTGGTGAAGGTATTGCTTTGGAATGTCCAAGGGCTGCGAAAAAAGGAAAGGGAGGAAATGCAAATTGCCAGAATCTGGAATCAAAGTAACGTTTCATTGGTAATGAACATCGAACAGATCATTCCACTACGGTTACGTGACAAGTTAAACACGAACTATGTTTATCATAACAAGTTTTAATAGGGAAAACGTAAAAATTTACTAGCCCCGCCCATCCAGCCTCACTTTTCTTAAAGGAAATGTAATTTGCAAAAATCGATCGTATTTTAGAAGGTACTAACCCCACCCACCCACCCTCTCTTTTCTTACAGGATATGTCATCTGCCAAAATCAGTCTTAACTTAGCCCTGTAAGAAAATAAAGGGGGGTGGGCGGGGCCACAACTTGGCAAGATAAGACCGATTTTGCCAAATGATATAAATTTTTGGTTTTTAAGTTTACGATTTTTAATTTTATTAGTGAAATCAAGTCGTACAAACGCTGCTTATAAATTATCATCACATAATTAAACAGTATTTAAACATAGCTAATATTATTTATAATGTTTAAATATGATTAACATTAATATATCATAATTAAACCGAAACGCGTTTTCCTGCAAGCCCGAAATTATGAAAAACAAATCAATTTGTTTAAACATTGTAATGAAAAACAAAATGGTTAGAATGGGATATAAAAATTTAACTGTAGACGGCAGAAATTTTGAATGGAATGAAGAAGAGGGCAGACTCAAGAAGGTAGAAAATTTTTAGTAAAGAGCCAAAAGATAAGGAGAAAAGGAGTAAAAATGGAAGTACACAAGGCAAAGGAGTAAAGGATGCAGATAAGGAAATCGGAAAAAGGGAAGCTGGTACAAAATTGGGAGAAAAAGGGGTGAAGGTACTGCTTTGGAATGTCCAAGGGTTGCGAAAAAAGGAAAAGGAGTTCTGGGACTACGTGGAAAAATTTGATGTGGTGGAGCTAGTAGAAACATGGGGACTAAGAGAAAAGGGAGAAATTTGAAGGGAGCGACAAAGTATAAGAAAAAGGGGTGAGCAAGCGGGGGAATAGTATTGGGAATTCGAAAAGAAGTGTAAGAAAGGTAAATCATAATAAAAACGGACTAATATAGAAACTAATGCAGCTGGATAACAATCTATGGGAAATAATAACCGTTTATGGCAAGAAAATGGAGGAAACCAAGATAAACATATTGTACTACGACAGATGCGATAGACTGATGGTTGTGAAATAAACGGTTCATTTACCTAAAAGTTTCCATTAGAAAAATTTTAAGGTAGGTAGTTGGGTACAATAATCCTTTTCTCTAGAAAATCTTCAACGGTATTGCCGCAAAATGCCGAAAAAGAACATCTGGTTAAAAGCTTTAATCCATTATCAACGGAAGTAAGGATTTAAAATCTTAAAATCTATGGAGTATGTTTTCAATCCTATAATAAAATTTTATTACCCAAACGACCGGAACCTATTCACAGAAAGGGTCTTGAGTAAGTGTACTTCAATGGTCAAGTCCAGGTAAAATGCATACGATACGATACGCCTAACTAACAATTATCTGTCATCCCGACAAGGCCGGCATTTGAACAAAATATGCATTAAAACTCATATTCGTCGAAAAAAGCATTAAATAAGCATATAACTTTTAATATGCATAAAATTGAAAAAAAAGCAAATAAGCATAAAAAAAATGTGTCAAATGACTCCAAATTGTATCATAGTTACAGATATAAAAAAGTTTTGAAGTGCTTACATTTTTCACAAAAAGCATTAAACCTAGAAATTACCGCACTTGTTCAAGACCCAGCACTCGCAAACTGCTTAAATTAGCAAATGACTCTAACGAATCAGCACGCCGCCGGAAATTTCCGCATTCAAATCACGAATACTTAAAATTCCACCTCGGTCCTCATCGTTCCAAAAGCGATTAGTGACAATCAAATATGTAACTTTATTTATAACCGACTATACTCCGGGGAATATAATCGAATCGGGCATTTATAGACATCAGGGATCGGATTCGGTGGCAGATAGTTTTCATATCAGCATTATTCTAATGGGAATAGGGGTGCGGTAAGTCGTTTGATGTTGAAAGCTCACTTATAAAGTGTCGAGGCAGCGTCGGAGAACCGCTTCTGTCAGACATCACTAGCTTAAAGTACGAACGTGTCCGTAATATAAAACTGGTACCTGTTCGACTGGAAGCCCGAAAACATCTTGCGCTGTCGCGCCGAGGACGCGTGTTAAGGGTTTAGGAATAAATACGAGCAACTCGGAGGAGTTCAAATAGAATTCGTAGTAAGAGGTTAACTGGATCTTTTTGCAGGAGCAGCGATAACGTCAAGTCGGATTGCATTTTTACAGCCTATTGATTGCCTGGGAGGAGTTTACTTTTGGTAAAATTTACTTATCGGATCGGCTTGAAGCCACTTGAGCTTCAATTCCTTACGAAATTATTTCAGCTGGTTTGTAATCAAAAATAAAATCGTGATATATCTGCACATTCTGTGTCAAAAAAGGGAAACAACAAACCCGTTACAAATGGATAAGTTTGCAATGCTCCACAATGCTTTCAATATCGCTGCGGTAAATCAGGGCTTGACAGAGTACTAAATCATAAACCCGTCTCATATATCAACGACACATTAGATTATAATATCTAGCTGTGCACCATACTAAAAACCCTTTTTTTTTTAATTGCGCCACCGATAACTGTAACCGAATACTTTATTGTTTGCGTTCGAATAATTCAGCTCTCATTAGAAACCAACATCAAAGCAAACAAGCGGCCCTAATTCGGAACTTCTAGGTTGTTTGCTCGATACTCAAAATTCTTTTTATTTGGTTGTTAGTGAGCTGAAGTAAACACAAAGGTTTTTTATTAAATAGTTGTCCGAGAGTCTCATCGCATAACCATCTCTAATATGTCTTCCTCGAACCTGCTTCAGTTTTAATGAAAAACAAATACACACTCTCGTATACGATATTGCAAAGCAAACCTCCATACCCTTATAAAAGGGAGCCCGGTACTTGGCGCAACAATGGAATTTGCATGTTTCATGTGTATTTTACTCGACAGATTCAAACTCCAGTGGCGCACCGAAGAGGATTTTAGGAAAATCGTTACGGCAAAGTTGCTTTTTTCTGCCTATTTTGTTCTAAAATCTGAATTTTCTATACAGCTTTGAACTTTCTTTTCGAGTTTTATTCCTGTATCACCCCAAAGTCAGATTGTTTTTAAAGGACAAGTTAAGGGAATGGACGAAAAACAAAGACGTTTTTCATATAGGAAACGGCAAATTGTTCTGTAAAATTGTAAGTATAATTATTAAAGTAAAAATTTAAATAAGTAGGAAAACTAGCTGTGAAATTAATTCCAAACGTCACAATTGAGACAGGGTGGGTGGGTGGGGCTTATAATTTGACTTTTTTTTCTTCTTAATGTACATACTCTTAATAACAAAAGACTGAAAACATGGTCAAAATGGTAAATTTCGAGAAATAACCATTTGGCAGTTAAGTTGCACCCCTCAACTCACGACGAATAAGAAAATTCATCACAATTGAAATGGGGTGGGTGGGTGGGGCTTATAATTGGATTTTTTTTTCTTCTTAATATACATACTCTTCACAACAAAAAACTGAAAACATGGTTAAAATGGTAAATTTCGAGAAATAACCATTTGGCAGTTAAGTTCCACCCCTCGGCTCACGACGAATAAGAAAATTCATCACAATTGAGATGGGGTGGGTGGGTGGGGTTTGTATTTTGCCTCTTTTTTTTCTTATTTGTACGTAGTTTTTTATTCACGAGAAGAAGCTGAAAATTTGTTTCAAATGGTAAATTTGTAGGGATTCTCAATTGAGCCGGTAAATCACACCAGTGACAATACAGCAATATTAAAGCTGAATTAAAAGGAAACCCGCATTAGTGGCAATAATTCACTAAAATACTAGCACCTCTGCAATCGATAAAGAAGAAAAATCAAGGAGACATAGAGGTGGAGGAGCTCAAGAAGATGATCAGCGAACTTGCGACACAAATCAGAGATGATATGAGAGAAAGTAATAAACAATTATTGAAGGAATGGAATAGTTAGCTTAAAAAGGAGTTTAAAACAATAAGACAAGAATTAAAGCAAACAAGAGATCAACTAAAGGGGCAAAATCAAGAAATTAGAGATAAGCTTGAAGAATGGAAGCAAGCTAATACGGAAAACGTAAAAATTTACTAGCCCCGCCCACCCACCCTTACTTTTCTTAAAGGAAAAATGATTAGAAGATACTAAACCCGCTCACCCACCCTCTCTTTTCTTAGCGGATATGTCATCTGCCAAAATCAGTCTTATCTTAGCCCTCTAAGAAAATAAAGGGTGGGTAGGTGGGGCCACAACTTGCCAAGATAAGACCGATTTTGCCAAATGATATAAATTTTTGGTCTTAAAGTTTACGATTTTTAATTTTATTAGTGAAATCAAATCGTACAAACGCTGCTTATAAATTATCATCACATAACTAAATAATACTTAAACATAGTTAATATTATTTATAACGTTTAAATATGATTAACATTAATATATCATAATTAAACCGAAACGCGTTTTCCTACAAGCCCGAAATTATTAAAAACAAATCAATTTGTTTAAACATTGTAACGAAAAACAAAATGGTTAGAATGGGATATAAAAAGTTAACTGTAGATGGCAGAAATTTTGAATGGCATGAAGAAGAGGGCAGGCTCAAGAAGGTAGAAAATTTTTAGTAAAGAGCCAAAAGAAAAGGAAGAAAAAGAGAAAAAATGGTAGGAAACGAGGCAAAGGAATAAAGGATGTAGATAGGGAAATCGGAAAAAGGGAAGGTGGTAGAAAACTAGGAGAAAAAGGGGTGAAGGTACTATTTTGGAATGTTCAAGGGTTGCGAAAAAAGGAAAAGGAGTTCTGGGACTACGTAGGAAAATTTGATGTGGTAGAGACATGGGTACAAAGAGAAAACTGGGAAAATTTGAAGAGACACTACCACAAGAATATGTGTGGGAGTGTCAAGGGGCGACAAAGGAAAAGAAAAAGGGGAGAGCAAGGGGGGGAATAGTAATGGGAATTCCAAAAGAACTGAAAGAATTGGAAAAGGGAAGTAATAATAAAAACGGACTAATGAAGAAAGTAATACAGCTGGATAACAATCGACTGGAAATAATAGCCGTTTAAAGCAAGAAAATGGAGGAAACCAAGATAAACATAGAAAAGGAAACAAAAGAAAAAGGAGATGAAAAAATATTTATAGGAGGGGATTTTAACGCAAGACTGGGCGATAAGGGGACAAGAAGAATAGATAAAGAAAAGGGAGAGAAAAGAGGATCAAAAGACAAAGCAAATAACAAAGAAAGGAAAATATTGTAGAAGAGGAGATGAAGAAGGAGAATGGACGTACATAGGGGCTAGGGGAGAATCAATTATAGACTACGGGATTGTCAACGAAGATGCGTGGGAAGAAATAGAGAGTTTCAAAGTGGGGGAAAGGGTAGAATCAGACCACGTGCCACTAGAAATAAAAATCAAAGCAAAAGAGCAAGAGTACGAAAAACAATAGAGAAGAAACGAAAGAAAAGAAAAAGAAAAAAGAACATGGGATGAAGAGGGAATTCAAAGATACAGAAGTAGACTAGAACAAAAAAAATCTTCCGAAAACTTGACGAAAAGAAATTTAAAAAAACTGGTGAAATACAAAAAAAGGGAAAAACGCACTAAAAGAAATAGAGAAAAAAGGGGCAACAATAAATAATTCGAAAAAACAAAAAAGTTAACAAAAAGTGTTTCAAAAAACGCCAAAGGAAGCAACAAAAAAAGAGGGGACAAAAAACGGCAAAAACAACAAAAAATAAGGCTGGTAAAAATCGACAAAAAAATATTTAAAAAAAGAGGAAGTGACCAAAAAGGGATTAAAAACATAATTAAAAAAAAACAACAAAAAAAGGTAAAACGAGACCAAAAATATGGCGACTAAAAAGGTAAAAAAGCGACAAAACAAAGTGACAATAAAGCAAAAATAAATTTAAAAACGCCCAAAAATTCAACAACAATTGCCAAGAATCTGATAAAAAACAAAAAACAACGAAAAACAAGGCGACAAAGAAATGAAAAAAATAGATCAAAAAAGTAGAGTAGAAATAGGGTAACAGAAAAGCCACGAAAAAGCAACAAAAAAGTCAAAAAATTAAGATATCAAAAGCAAGAGATAAACCTAGGAAAAAAAAACGCAACACAAAAAAACCGTCGAAAAATCTACAAAACGATCATAGACACTAAGACCTATTAAAAATATGACAAAAAAAAAAACCAAAAAAGCGACAAAAATGACAAGAAGCAAAAAAATAATTAAAAAATGGAGGAAATGAGAAAAAAGCGATTAAAAACAATTGAAAACAAAAAAACCGACAAAAAAGGAAACAAAAGGAAGTGATAAAAAGAGCGACCAGAAATAGGCAACAAAAATGGCAAAATAAAAAGGCAATTAAAAAGATGAAGAGAAAGGTTAATAGAAAGCGACCAACAAAAAGTTAGAACAGAGCAAGAATTGAAAAAAATAGACAAAAAACAAAAAACAAAGCGACAAAGAATTGAAAAAAAGACCAAAAAAGTAGAGTAGAAACAAAAATGCAACAAAAGAAAGTGAAACATGACCAAAAATCAACAAGAAAGTGACCAAAAGGCCAACAAAAAAAGACTAAAAATTAAGAGTAAAAAAAGGCGACACAAAAAGAAAAGACAACAAAAAACGACGAAAAATGAAGATGTGAAAAGCAAGAGAAAAACCTAGAAAAAAAAACACAAAACAAAAATAAGTCTCAAAAATCGACAAAAAGATCATAAAAAGCTGAAAATATGACAAAAAAAAAAACAAAAAGGCCACAAAAATGACAACAAAACGCAAAAAAATGTAAAAAAAAACAGAAAATGAGAAAAACCATTAGAAACAATTGAAAACAATAAAAAAAAACAAAAAAGCGACAAAAACGCCAACAAAAGAAAGCGATAAATAAAGCGACAACAAATAGGCAACAAGAATGGCAAAAGAAAAAGCGATAAAAAAGATGAAGGGAAAGGTTAATCGAAAGCGACCAACAAAAAATTAGAAAAGGGCAAGAATGGAAAAAAAGAGACAAAAAATAAAAAAAAATCCGCCGAAAAATTGACGAAGAGAGATTTTAAAAAACGAAAAAGGAAGTTACAAAAATTGACGAAATCCATGACCAAAGAAAAAGGCAAAAACGCACCAAAAGAAATCGACAAAAAGGGGCGACAATAAATAATTTGATAGAAAAGCCTATAAAAAATGTAAAACATTGACAAACATTGATTCCAAAAAAGCCAAAAAAAATTAACAAAAAAAACTTGACCAAAAAAATCCGACAAAAAACACCAAAAAATAAAGCGAGAAAAATCCACAAAAATTAAAAAAAAAACACAAAAAAATGTTAAAATCACACCAAAAATGAGGCGACAAAAAGGTAAATAAAAAAATGCCAATAATGCAACAAAAACCAAAAAAAAAAACAACGAAAAACAAGGTGCCAAAGAATTGAAAAAAAGACTAAAAACATATAGTAGAAACAGGGCAGAAGACATAGAAGCTATGATAGCAGAACTGATCAACTTAATTGTAGAAGCTACGGAAAAAAGAAAGATTTGCATATGGCAAGGGAGGAATAATGGATGGAACGGAGAATGTAGTGAGTTGAAGAGAAAATTAAGGGAAAAATTAAGAAAATGGAAGAATAACAGGGGAAGGAAAGAAGAGTACTTAAAAGCAAGAGAGAATTATAGGACAAAATGGGAAGAAAGTAAAAGAAAAAAACGAGAAGAAGAAGAGAAAACAATAAAGTTCCTGAAAACAGAAGAAGAAGTATGGAGATATATAAACAAGGAAGTAATAGTACTACTACTACCTCCTCGGGTCTTTTTTTAAGAAGTTGAAACCCTTTTTTTCTATTACACTGCGACTAATTCTTTTTATATTGTTTTTACTCCATAGAGGTTGCAGCAAAATCAAATTTAATAGTTTTTCAGACCGTACTTCAGGAACGAGCGAACTAACTTTCGATAATTTTTTACTATAAAAATAGAGAAAAAAACTGGGAAACGTTATGAAATATTTGCTGAAAGGTGCAGGTAGCGAAAATCTTTTAATTTCGAGCGAGATTAATTTTAAAGCGTCGAAAGTCTTGAGCTAATCCCCGTATTAGCGTCGAATGCCAACATAACATTATTAATTATTTGTAAGGTTTATCTATGTGTCCGCACTAAGCTATTAATACTAGAACGGATAATGGGATTACGTTTTAAGAGCAGAATTACCTACGACGCGTCTATTTTTGTAAAAGCGCGCAAAACAGCAACTTTTTGACATGCCCGCCACACAATTTCAATAACATAATCAGCTTAACCTCCCATTGTTATTAAAAACGACGGCCCACTAATTGCGTATTTACAAATCGCATTAGCCCGCCCCTTGAGCATCTTTTCCCTTTTTGCGCAAAATTTATACACACGGCTGCCAAAGTGGAGATTGAAAGTGTAGTCTTACCCCGGATTAGTTTTAGGTCCATTGTAAGAGTGTAAATCTCTCTCTATAATATATCGTTGTAGCTTTTAGTTCCGTGCTCGGTCTTCCAGATAATCTAATAATTAACTGTGTAAGATGATAGATAGAACACGATGGCAAAAGCAACAAAGCGACGAGCGGGCAATCTAATTACATAGTACGTCGGTTAAACGACAAGAAAACGAAAGACGTCGACTCGTTGCTAGTATGATTATCCTCTAGGACATATCATTATGAGCCTGCCAGTGGCGGCGCAAACTTAACAGACTCCCGAAGGGGTGCTTGAACGTCCCAGACGCGCAAAAAATCGTGTTACATGCATCGTCAACGGACGGACATACGGAAACGGGACACCAATAGCCTCCAACAAAACAGCGGATTTTAGGCTAAAAAATTATTATTGTTATCTACTCTTCCTGGTCTCTAATCTAGTTATACTTGTTCCGGAATGAAACGTTATTACTAGA